TAAAAAAATTACTTTTCAAATTTAAATAAAACTGAAACGTTATTACAAACGATATGAAGAAGAGATGATATATGAACTTGTCTATGTTGTTGCTTATTACAGTAATATCATGAGGTTATAATTATATTCGCTGAGTACAACACTGAATTCTATTGGACGTGGACGAGTACGTAAGTTTTGAAGATCGATACCAGTCTAACAGATTAAGTATTATATTCAACAATATATGTATAATGGAATCTTTTCCTCACACCATCATTTTTTGACATTTTGACAAAAAATTGCTTCGTGAATAAGGATTTTTTATGAATATTTGGATTTTATAAATTAAAATGAGACAAATGGAGTACATTGTGATTTGATACGGACTTTTTGGACTAGAAAAAAAGGAAAGAAAACGAGGTAAGTTTGTTAAAATCCAGTATTAATAATAATGAATTTGGAGATCACATGGTGTAAGTTCATTGATTTTATTTCATAAGGTGTGAATTTAATTTTCGTACCAAAAATATTTTTACATGGTCATATTTTATAATTAGCACTGCCTCTTAGAACAACCCGAAGGACAACTTGGGTTAACTCAATGTATGTTTTAAGAAATGACAGTTAACATTTCTATATTCACTTTATTCTACCACGCTGTCCAACAATATACAATCATAGTGTAGTGGTGCATAATATTATAAGGTGATTAGCAATTCGCGACTCTAAAGCAAACATCATATAACATAATAATAGTATAAAAGGCAACATTGAGCTTTGTCTAAACCAGTGCAAGCCATTTCGAAATAGATATCATTCTACATGTACTGACTTTAACGATATGTTTGAGAAATAATTAATAACTTTGAGATGTACCTTTGGCGTTTACTTCTTCTTTGAATGATGGTGCAAATTTCCTTTAAAAAGACAGACAATTTTGCTGACTCTACATTTCCATTAGGTTTTTTATCAAATGTCTTTTCATTGTATTCATCTTTCTCAATTTGCTGTTTCAGCTCATTCAGCCACATGTTTATTTCATCGTCACTTGAAAAGAAACAAAATCATAATCATCAACATATATGTAATTATTATCAAATTTTAGGACATTACCTAAAAACGTATTAAGGTTACAGAATAATTCTTGAGAATAAAGAATTGTCAGTAAGATTATTTAATATACACATACTTCATAAAACAAAACTTTTTTAAATCGTACATTGTTTTCAATGTACGATACCGTAACACGTTTCTCCGTATAAAATACCTACGCGTTTATGCAAGAAACACTTTTTGTTAACAATTGTAACAGTAACTCGACAGAAATTAATCCGTATTGTATACGAGTGTGGTCTGGTGCAACGCTGCTAGCGTAATGACATTACATAACGGTTGCATATGTAGTTCATGAACGAATAGATTTTAAAAGAGTCAGTGTGATAGATCTGATCGGTTACTCGTATCAACTTCTGGAACGGATCAGACTCGAAAAAGCCTATTAATGTTCAACTAAATTAATTACAAGTTTCAGATTAAGATATAATGACAACCCCGTGATATTATATGCACGCTTGATTTAATCCATTTAGGTTTAATTTACCATAAGTGTTAATTGGTGAAATCTTTAACATGCCATAACATACGACGATATATCTGTTTTAAACTTTATAATTTGTAAAACAATGTGACAAAATTATTCTGATATTTGTTGCTATTTCATAAACTTTAAAGCATATCATGGAATTTACATTGTTAGGATAATTTCACTCAAATAGAATGTTTGACACAATATATGGCATTTTGTTTCCTTTGGAATAATCAACATAATACGTTTCAAGTTTATTTTATCCATTTAAGGCTGCCCTTAATGATTTGACGGACCCACATTGGTTACTGAAAATAATCAAAAGTTGTTCAGACATACAGTAAGATTTACAGGTTACTTTTGGATGCTAACAACTTTAACGCTTTAACCACATTATCTCCTACAAAATGAATTATACAATAAGATTAAGATATATAAACTTAAGAACAAAATACATTGCATTGTACATTTTGTAGACTAACGTGTTGACATTAGCGTGATATACCCGTACTTATTCATGCTTTATAAGTAACATAATTTCCCAATAAAATATTGTTTCTTTTCTCTGAAAATCGTATTTCAAGATGATTTCTATTTATTCATCATAATTTCCATTTCGTGCAAATCATATTTCTCTTTAAAACTGATACTGTAAGACTCCGAATATCGTCGAAGTCTACATTATAGTCAGTTTTTGAACACACTGGTATTTTCATTTTTTTCTTGTCATTTATCTTAGTTTTAGGTTTTATGGTATTCACTGTTTATTCGTTTTAGTTAATTATGCATTGTTTATTTATTTTGTTTTTTATACTAATATGTCAATTTTTTTTGTCAGCAGTTTAATGTGGTCTGTGAGGTCCTAGAGAGGCTATATTTACATTTGTAAATTATATATTTTTTAGATTTTACCTACAAGAAGAAACATTCACCTGCAAATATGTAAAAGGATGGAATTGTGATGGAACTGTTGCAGACAATTATCCTATACATTGTATCCTTGTCACGTTCATCTATTACATAGAATGAATGTTTTAACGAAGTGTACCAGTAAACGGATATTGGAGCTACATTTTTTCAACGTAACAACTTTTTAACTAATGACCATCTAACTTTTTATTAATACTTTTCACAACTACTTTTCATGGCTTAATAAAAGTAAGCCAGTAACATTTATAATTTTGGTGTTTAGTGTCTTCATTTGAGTTTCTTTCAGTTTTCTCCGATTTTTAGGGGAAGTAGCTGATCTTTACCAAATTGTTTGTTCTTTTCTGTCTATCTTTGTCATTACATACTGTTTTTGCTACAAATAATTCAAAATGATTAAGAAATACAACAGGGTACAAATCAGCTACCATACAACTACTGATCTTGAAAAAGGTAAGTTAAAAGATTAGATAGTACATGTAAACGTGCAGTTATTTTCACTTTTAAATTGACCTGATAAAAATAATGGCACTATCAAGAACTGTATCGGTCGTTTTTAGTAGAAATAATTACAAAGCATATAATTTGTTTTTGTGTCGCCTTGAAAAGGTGACATATAGGGGTTACTTTTGTCGGCGGCGTCGGCGGCGGCGTCTGTGTCGGCGTCGTTGTCGGCGTCGGCGTCCCCTAAAGCTTGTCCGGAGCATAACTAAGTCACTATAAGTCTGATTGACTTCAAACTTGGTATGCATGCTTCTTTCAATAACCCGAAGTGCAGTGCACAAGGACCGGTACTCTGCAATTCTTATTCTTTGAGTTATTGCCCTTTGTTAATTTTCATACTTTAATTTTGTCCGGGCCATTTCTCTTCAACTAAAAAAGCTATGGACTGGAAACTTCATAGGATGATAGATCTTATTAAGAAGAAGTGCAGTGCACAATAACAGGTACTCTCCATTTCCTTTTTTTTTAGTTATTGCCCTTTGTTTATTTTCAAACTTTAATTTTGTCCGGGCCATTTCTCCTTAAGTATAAAAGCTATGGACTTGAAACTTCATAGAATGATAGATCTCATTAAGAAAAAGTGCAATGCACAAAAATCGGTACTCTGCATTTCTTAATTTTTGAGTTATTGCCCTTTGTTAATTTTCATACTTAATTTTTGTCCAGACCATTTCTCCGAAAGTATAAAAGTTATGGACTTGAAACTTCATAGGATGATAAATCTCATTAAGAAAACGTGCAGTGCATAAGAACTGATACTCTGCATTTCTTATTTTTGGGTTATTGCCCTTTGTTGATTTTCTTACTTTATTTTTGTCCTGGTCATTTCTCCTCAAGTATGAAGCTATGGACTTGAAACATCATAGAATGATAGATCTTATTGATAAGAAGTACAGTGCACAGAAACTGCTGCTTTGCACTTATTCTTTTTTTAGTTATTGCCCTTGTTATTTTTCATATTTCATTTTTGTCCTGGCCATTTCTCCTAAACTACATTGTTCACAAGGCGACACATCCGACACGTGGAGTTCTAGTTTCAATAAAGACTATATATATGTAAGTTTTTCTTTTTCTAATTTTTACAATTAATAGTTAATCTACCTGTTAATTATAATCTGTAAAAGTATCAGTCACTGTTTTGAACTGTAAATTATTTAGGGGAGAAAATGTCAAAGGCAAATCGTCTGCTGAAAGAAATAGCGATCGAAATTGAAACAAACAAAAGCACAAACTAAGATAGCCCTTATTAGCCAATTTGAGTGAAATTGGTCAAGTAAATTTAAACATATATTTTTACAAAAACTAAGAACAAGATATAAATCCGAACAAAACATTGATTTTTTGGAAACAAAATGTTATTGTTCTTTATCAATATAAGATTGTGAACTGATTTAAACACATTTTGTTGTTTTCAAAAATGTATTTAAACAAGACACAGGTTCGTTAAAAATATGATCTGTTGGATGAAAAAAGTGTTTTTTCATGATATAATCTGGTCATATAGTTTTTAACTTAAGATGACCACATATCGACTCGTTCGAGATATCATGTTTGTTAAAAAAGTATTTAATTATAACATACCTATCGCTGCTAACGGAAAGTGACAGTGTATCATGAGTGGGTAAGAACTTATTGTGATAATCCCAGCAACTTTGACAATAGTATCTGCCATATCGGCTGCAGTCTCGACATATATGTGTTGCTATTTTACCTATTTCCTTTGCTGCACAGATTGAACACATGTCAGTTACTGAAAATGATTCACACAAGGGATCGTCTATAGGTTTCTCTATATCCCATCTTCTCATAACCGAAGACACATCTTTAGAAGATACAGATTGATAATCTTCCGATTCTTTTGAGACGCTGCCCGAGTGTGACTGACCTCGAACGCTTATAAAATCACTTTTCTCTGACGCCGGATGTTTTGGTTCATTAATTGTCTTGTTTTTTGCCATATTGTACAATTTTACTCATGTATCTTTGTTAGCTTGTGTTTACTTAAGACCACAGTTAATGAAAAGGGGAATGATAATATCACTTAGGAAAAATGATACTAATATCCAGCCCTGTTGTCTTCGTTTCAGTCACTTCTAATACAAAATGATAGCTTGAAAACATGAGCAACCCATCGCTGTCTATGACATCCTGTAATATTTCTTAATCTGCAGCAGAAATATCAATCACTTTCTTTCACATGCATCAAATATAATACTTCATTTTGTTTTTCAAACGATGATTATCAAATTCCGGCACACTCGGGCACTTTTGCAGAAACATGTTTGAAAGATGTCGTTACATGAAACACTATATTTCTTTAGTTCTTTTAAGCCGGTGGTGATTATTTATATTCTCGTCCACAGAAGTCAAGCAAGGATGTGTAATACTGCTGGCTTGAATTGCAAACAACAAAAAAATATTAAAGATAAGTAACCTTTGTGAGACTGATCTAAAGATATTAAAGATATTGTTATCAAATTCAGTAATGAAATTCAAAATAAATGCTGAAGCTTAGATAATATCGTAAAATCAATATGATATATGTAACTGAATTTCAAAGAGGTCAACCTGCTTTGAGCGACTGCTTTTGTATTGACATATGTGAAGGGTAGGTCTCTATTTTGTAGAGATACCTCCAACATACGACGGTAGACAAAGTTGTGACCGGTTTCATTATGATAAATGAATAAGACAGGCTATATTCACCTGACATAAAATGTATAAGAATTAATTATTGACTTTAAAATATGTACAAGAATAGCTGGTAAACATTTTTTTTTATAATTTAAATTTATACTGGACGTTTGTAACGTCGCTTTTCTTTGGATAGTCGGGAAGTTTAAATTTACTATATACACGGCTAATGCTATTTTATGAAGATTTTATTTTTTCAAAGGTAGTTCGCTGTATTAAAAAATCGTTATTAAGATTCTCGATAGGTTATATAGTCGTATAATAACAGTTGGTTGCAATATAAAAAATCTGGAAACAAAGTGATCCCTCGGAAGCATTCAGCACAAAAAAATTATAACAGAATTGCAGACTCAGTTTGATTGAGTCTGTACATGAGGGATAATGAATACGTGCAACCCTCACGTCCCCTAGCACCGGCTTGAGCGGTACTCAATTCTGAACAGGCATCAATGATCCCAAAGGACCAGAAAAATATAACAACACTGAAGTGAAGTACGGGGCAACGTTTTAACCGCTGCCTCATAGCACTTGACACCTGCTGTTATGAAGTATAAAAATCTGGGAACAATGTGATCCCTCGGAAGCATTAATCACAACAAAATAACAATTGAATGGCAGACTCGGTTTGATTGAGTCTGTACATGAGGGATAATGAATACGTGCAATCACGACCCCTAGCACCGGCTTGAGTGGTACTCAATTCTCAACACTTAATAGTGCTGGCATCAATGATCCCGAAAGACCAGAAAAATATAACAACACTGAAGTGAAGTACGGGGCAACTTTTTTCAGCTGCAACACAGCACTTGACATGCTGTTGTGAAGTATAAAAACCTGGAAACAAAGTGATCCCTCGGAAGCATTAATCACAACAAATTACAAGAGAAATGGAGACTTGTTTGATTGAGGATAATGACTAAGTACGTAAGCGTTTATATATGGTCATACAACTGTAAAAAATAGTGATAACTTATAATGTATAATATTGTTTTAACAAATAAAATGTAAGAAAAACAATTACCTTTGCGATTAAAGTTCCTTTTCTGTTAAATTTAAAAGCTACATAATAGCGATTTCGTATTAGTTACCCGATCAATACTACACACATTCAAAAGAAAATGCGATAAAATCAGTCCCATTCAATCATGTGGTAATGTCAGTACATTCAATACATTCAATGTTCCAATTCATGCTTTTATTATGTATGTATAACTGAACGTATAATATCATAAATTATCAAATAACAATTATGTTAAAATTGATCAAATTGCGAACGCCTTGTTATAGTCATATTCCGATTTAAAATTAAGTTTAAATTGTCAGTGAAAATGTAGAGATAAAATAACTTGACATTTTGCCGTATTTCTTTTCAGTTTTATTTTTTTATACCGAAAACAGAATAACCAACAATGCACGTTACCACCGAAATTGCCTATAAATATCTTGCAGAATGTATCGGTAACGATCAATATTTAAAAGTATTTTGACAGTCATTTTATAATTTAGGTAGTTTCCTAACTTTAAAATTAGTTGCTTATATTTTCAGTTATTGGTTAATCAACATAACATTCGCCAATCTTTTGAAAGATATTATTTAAATTTTATTCAATGTGACACCGGAAAAAACGCGCATAATGGCACCCCAAACGTGAAACGTATACATTAATCAAACTATAAAACATAAACTTGCATAATGAAACCCATTTTTGAAATTTAAACAAGTGGGTTATTGGCTTTATTTATATTTTAGAAAAAAATCGAAATATCAATTCAAAATGTTCAACCTTTTACCTTTTTGCACTGACAGTTCGCTTTTCTGCCATCGGGATATACTTTTTTATGATTTACGGAATTTTTTCATCCGGATTATTTCTAGTATCACGTGATTTTACAGGACAATACCGGAACATGTGATCCAGAACGCAACGAATCTTGGATCGTATCTAACATAGAGGGAAATGAGTAAACTGATTTGGTTTTGATATTTGTAGTTACTTGTATTATAATTGATCAATTATATCATATATGATGACTTGAAATTTTGTATCATTCTTTTCATTTTACCTTCTTGAGACGAGTGGCTTTCATATCTGATTTAACTATGGCCATCTTTTGATACAGGAAACCAGGTCGTAAAGAATTTAATATACAATGATTAACATTAGGAGTGTGTGTATAGATAAAGCAATGCTTGTAAAAAAATCTGGAAACAAAGTGATCTTTCGGAAGCATTAATCACAACAAAATTACATTAAATTTGCAGAGTCTTCTGTCTTGCTTCGTCAGGCTCTTGTAGGGGATTTTTTTGTTGCTCTGCCTTCCTCCAAGGCATCGAGTACTTTGGTAATGGTCATTATGCAGTACCTTTTTGAACATATTTACACAATCATTTACGTGTTTTATTTTATTTTTTTAATGTAACAATGACCATTGTTACTTTTCGGGGATTAATTTTATTTACACTTTCGTGTCATATAAACATATTTGGGTTGGCGAGCCTTAAAACGGTTTAAATTCCTCAGTGGTGAATCTACCACTGACCGTTCCAAGGCGGTACCCCTCTGTGTTCCTTCATGTGTTTTTCATATCTTCATTGATACTTGTTTTGAATGCTGTGTTCATTGAACGCCGCCTTTCCTTGATGATCTTGTTTATCATATGTTTTACGTATTTTGTGATGTGTGTCTTGTTGGATTGTCATTGATTGTAGTTATTTTATCACCCTCCCCTTCTTTCCATTTTTATCCCCCTTTTACCCTTACAACCCTTATCTCTTTTAATCTCATATGGGCCCGTTTTAGTTTTTTGCTTCACACATTACTTGTCCCTCTCCTGTCGCCGCCCTTATGTCCACTCACGGCTTGGGTTTGGTGCCTTCTGGGTGTCCTGCTTCGGTGTGTCGGGGATCGGGGCTGCGTCCTGTGAACGTTGCCTTTGCCTTGTTGATCTTTATTCTCGTTCTATTTGATTGGGTCTGTACATGAGGGATAATGAATAAGTGCAATATCCCTCACGACCCCTAGCACTGGATTGAGCGGTATTCAATTCTTAACACTTAATATTGCTGGCATCAATGATCCCGAAGGACCAGAAAAATATAACAACGCTTAACTGAAGTACGGGGCAAATTTCACAGCTGTCGCACTTGACACCTGCTGTTGTGAAGTATAAAAATCTGGACACAAAGCGATCCCTCGGAAGCATTATATTAATCACAAAAAATACATTTACATTGCAGAGTCGGTTCGATTGAGTCTGTATATGATGTAAAATGAATAAGTGCAACATCCCTCACGCCCCCTAGCACCGGCTTGAGCGGTACTCAATTCTCAACACAAATATAAGCCTGACTTCTTCAACATATCAGAAACAGGATATGTAAATACAATTTCATAGCTTAATCAATGATGTTCTACAAGTCGTTGAATATTCTTTGTTAAACAAGAATTATTATGTTCTTCCAAATGTACAATTATAGGACACTTGATTTTTAAGATAAACAAAACTTCCTCATCTGATCTTGTTTATCATATTTTACTATGAACCTGTTGGAACCAAAAATAGCCTTTGTTAAGTCTATGCTATCAGCATATAGCACACTCATATAGCAGTCTGACCTCGTCCAATGTGATAATTTACATTCTGTTTTGTTTCATGATAGAAAAATTTCATGTTCAAATACAAACTTTTGTAATGCATGTGATTAAATAATAATAAGCATTGCTTATATAGATTTCGCAAACACATTTAAAGCGCTGTTGTTTTTAAACAGTCACTAGGAAGAACAGATCAGTTCGATGTTGACAAGGGTGTTTATAGACTGAAATGTTAAAATGGGCAAACTATGTGAATTTCGAACAGGTTTCTTTACCAAATAATGAAAAAAAATCTGGAAACAAAGTGATCCCTCGGATGTATTCATCACAACAAAATTACATGAAAATTGCAGTCTTGGTTGATTGAGTATGTACATGAAGGATTATGAATAAGTGCATCATCCTTCACGCCTGTTAGGAGCGGTACGCAAATTCTCAACACTTACTAGAGCCGGTGTCGCGTAATTATCACACGCGTGTTAATAAAATCAAACGGTTAGGGTTAGCACGGTCTTAAATATACTCCAATTTAGAGTATATACCATTTTATTGCAAAATTAATTCCGCATCTAATGGTATAACTTTTATGGGAATTTATTGATTTTCTAACACACGACATATGACAACATTCGTTATTCAAAATTATAATTATGTTCTTATGAATAAGTTTTTAAACGTTTTTGTCCAACTTTGCTAATGATTGTGTTTTCACTTAGTGTTCAAGACAGTTGTGATTTTTAAAAGTCGATAATAGCTATGCGTGTTTGTTATGTTTTGTTAGGGATGTAAATAGACAATCATTGATGTGTCATTTTTCCTTAATTATAATAACATTATCTTATCAAGTCGAATCGTTTGAAGGTAAGTTATAACAATAAATAATGGAAAAATGGTTATCAATAAAAGTGCAATCAGATAGACCTACGTATATTTCCGAAATGTATTATTTGTATAAGAAATTATAATAGTGCACGTGTTTGATTATATCGCGCCGAAGTAACAACGGTCATGCGCACGAAATTAAATTTTATCATATAAAACATCTTTGAATTTTGTATAGTATAATACTATTTTTTATGAAATCAATATTGTGTATACAT